GGTACTCAAAAGAAGGTGTCCACTGTGGCAATATCTGTGGAATCAGAGTATTTTAAGCAATCTAGATGTCAATCACTGGGAGAAAAGCTAGGAAAAAATGTGGTACATATACACCAGGCAGCAGTTAGAAAAGCATTAGACTAGATGTGTGCATAGCAATAAAAATGGATCTTAAAATGATGGGTTTGAATTTAAAAATTAAAGAAACACAAAATTTATAATATACTCCCATTCATATAAATTAAAACGTATGCAAACTGAACAGAATAGAGAGTTCAGCAATAAACTCACATGTACAGAGCCAACTGATTTCTGACAAAGGTAGCAAGGTAATATGATGGGAAAGAATAGTCTTATCAATCAATAGTGCTGGAGAAATCCATATTCATAAAGAACAAAAACTTAACCTCAAATGTTAACCTCACTTCATATACAAGATTTATCCAAGATATATCACAGACTAAAACATAAAAGCTAAAACTATAAAGCTTTTATAATCTCAAATTAGTGTTCTCAAGACGGTATTTGTTTACCCTCCCAGAGGCACCAACAGTTCAAACAGAACTTCAAGAAGAAAGCAATGCTTAGCACAAACGAAAACACTAATGATGGAGTGTTAGTTTTCTACTGTCACATAACAAATTTCCACAACCACAGTGGCTTAAAACAATACCCATTTATTATGTCTCAGTTTGGTAAACAGAAGAGCAAGTGATCTCAAGTGAGATCTCAGCTTAGTGTCTCCCAAGGCTGCAGTCAAGATGTCAGCCAGCTAGGCTCCTATCTGGGGGCTCTGGGGGATAACCCATTTTCAGACTCATTAAGGTTGTTGATAGGATTAAATCCCATTTGGCTATAGGTCTGAAATCTTTGATTTATTGCTGGCTCTCAGCCAGGAATGGCTCTCAGCCTCTAGAGACCACTCTTTCCACATGCCCCACCACCTCCCATGCAACTTCAAAGCCACCAATGCTTCATCAAATCTGTCATGTACTTTGAACATCTCTGACTTCTCCTTTTGCTATCAGTTGGAGAAAACTCTCTGTTTTTAAAGGATATGCCTGACAGGCCCACCCAGATAGTCTCCATATCATAATATCAACTGACTTGGAACTTTAATTACCAAAATAATCCCACAAAGGATCTAAAAGTTAAATTGGAATTGGAATCACAGCCCAGAAAAATAGGCCAGGACCTGTGTGATAGGTCTAACAGAGTGACTGCCTGCTAAATAGGACCCAGAGTCTACTAACATAATAGACAAAATGTCCAGAATACAACTGAAAACCACTCATCATGCTAAGAACCAAAAAAATCACAATTTGAATGAGAAAAGATGATCAAGTGACACTAATACTGAAATGAATCAGATGTTGGAATTATCTGAGAGGGATATTAAAGCTGGCATCATAAAAATGTTTCAATAATCAATTACAGATTATCTCAGAAAAAAATTTAAAAAGTAGAAAACCTCAGCAAAAATGTAAAAGCTATTTTTTAAAAAAGAAGAAAATGGAAAATATAAAGCTGAAAAGAATAACTTTAAAAAAAAAAAAACCTCTCTGGAGAGGCTCAATAGCAGAGTGCAGATGACAGAAGATCAACTCAGTAAACTTAAAAGAGAACTCAACAGAAATCACCAAACAATAGTGAATTCACAGAATTTACTTAATAAGAGAGAAAATAGACTAATATAAATGAAAAGAGACTCAGAGACCTGTGGGACAATAAAATACATGCAACACTGGTGTCATTAGAATCCCAGATGGAGAGGAAAAAGAAAGTGGGGCCAAAGATATAATAGCTGAAAATTTCCCAATTTTGGCAAAACACACAAATTTACAGATTCAAGAAGCTGAGTGAACCCCAAACAGTATAATGCCAAAGGAATCCATGCCAAAGCACATCATAACTAAACTTGTGAAAACTAAAGACAAAGAAAAAAAACTTGATAGCTGCCAGAGAAATCTGACACAATACCTGTAGAGGAGGACCAATTTGAATGACAGATTTCTCATCTGAAAACATGGAGGCCAGAAGGAAGTGGTACATTTTTCAAGTACTGGGGGGAAAAAAACAGTCCAATACAAATTCTATATCCAGTAAAACTATCCTTCAAGCATGAATGGGAAACAGAGGCATTTTCAGACCTATCTTAAAAGAATGGCTAAGGGACGTTCTTCAATGAGAAGCAAATGATAAAAGAATTGGATAGGAAGATCTAGCAATGCAAAGAGAAGACTATGGATATATTCATTAGACTACCCTTCTCCTCATGAGTTTTATAAATGATATTTGATAATTAAAACAAAAAATAGCACTATCTGGTTATCACAACAATGATATTTAAAAGTGGAGAAGGTTAATGGACCAAAATCAAAGTAAGGCTTCATATTTCACTTGAAGTGTTAAAATACTGATACCAGTAGACTGTGACAAGTCACATGTGTACATGGTAAAACCCGGAGCAAAAGCTACAATAATTATACAATAAGATACACTTTTTTAAAAACCCTATAAATAAATCAAGAGGGAATTCTAAAAATTTTTTCAAGTAACCCACCAACAGGCATGTAAAGAGAACAGAGAAATGAGAACAAGAGGAGGGAAAAAGAGACAAATAATAAAATGGCAGACTCTTATAAAGCAGAAACTAACACACCATTGTAAAGCAATTATACTCCAATAAAGATGTTAAAAAAATGGCAGACTAAACCACTAACATATTAATAGCTATCTTCAATATAAATGGTCTAAATACATACCTATCAGAATGTCTAAAATAAAAAGCAGTGATAACACCAAACGCTTGCAAGGATGCAGAGAAACTAGACCACTCATCCATCGCGGTCGGAATGTAAAGTGGTACAGCCGTCTTGGAATATAGTTTGGCGGTTTATTTAAAAACCAAATATTCAACTCTCACATGACCCAGAAAATGCATTCCTGTGCATTTATCCCAGAGAAATGAAAAAGTTACATCCACATAGAAACCTGTACATGAATGTTGAAAGCACATTATTGCAATAGCAAAAAACTGGAAACAATCAAAATGTCCCTCAGTAAGTGAATAGTTAAACAAACTGGCATATCCATACTCCTCAGCGATAAAAAGCAACTACTAAAACATGTGGTAATCTAGATGGACCTCAAAGGCATTGTGCTGAATGAAGAGAGCCAATCTCAAAAGGTCACATACTCTATGATTCCATTTATACCACATTCTCACTATAGAGACCAAAAACTGATCAGTAGCGCCAGGCGTTAGGAATAATTGGAAGGAGGGGGAGGGGTGTGATTATAAAATAGCAGCACAAGGGAGACCTTTGTGGTGACATAATTGTTAATTATAATTGTTCTGTATATTAATTATAGTGGTGGTCACATAAATCTATGCATGTGATAAAATCACTCAGAATTATACACATACAATAGACCAATGTCCACTACCTGGTTTTGATATTATATTACTATATTTATGTAAGATATAAACATTGTGAAAGGTATATGGGACTTCTCTGTATTGTTTTTGCAATTTCCCATAACTGTAATTATTTTAAAACAAAATTTTGAAAAATAAGATCCAAGAATTTTCCTAGTTTTAATGCCACAGATCCAAGAATCTCAATGAACCCCAAGAATACCTTGGCTCATTGTAGTCCAACTGCTGAAAAGAAATGATAAGAATATTCACTGCCTTCTCATCAGAAACAATGCATGCCAAAAGGCAACAGGATGACTTCTTTAATGTGCTGAAAGAAAAAAAATGTCAACCTAGAATTGTATATACAGCCAAATTACTTTTTTTAAATGAAGGTAAAATGGAGACATTTTCAAATAAACGAAAGTTGAGAAAATTCATCAAAAGATGACCTACGCTATCAAAATTATTAAAGAAAATTCTTCACAATAATGAAAAACTGTAACAGACTGAAATTTGGGTCCTCACAAAGAAATGAAGAAAATGTGACTAAATATAAAATCTTTCCCCATTTTAAAATTTCTTTGAAAGACTGTTGACTGCTTGAGGCAGAATAAGGTAATATAGGGTTTACTGGGAGATCAGGATG